ATATTATTAAAATCCTCTGTGAATTGAGAAGTAAGGCAAATTAGTATCAGCTCACAGTTTGGAGGCTTTGATATGATACTCCTAATAAGCCAATCAGGTGAATAACAAGAAAACCAGACAACCTTAATTCAGGTGATTTAGTCGTTACACAACCATGCTCCAGTACTTAGATCAATACCTCACTAAGGCACTCAAGAAATGTTTCTGGATGAATGAAAAGTGAACAAAGGAATGGTAGGACCATTAAGGGGAAACAGAGAAACTGATAAAGTCTAAATGTAAAAGTGAGCAATTTACCTTCGCCTTTGTGACCTAGGTCTCGATGAAGCAAGATCTGCCAAGGAACCTTCTAACCTTTCTCTCTGTTTCTCTAGGCAGCTTGAAATCCACTCCCCAGATGCTAAACACACAGTGATCCTAAGGAGCAAGGACTCAGCCACTGCCCAGGCCTGGTTCAGTGCCATCCATTCCAACATTAGTGACCTGATGACCCGAGTGATTGCCGAGGTCAGAGAACAGCTGGGGAAGACCGGCATTGCTGGGAGCCGAGAGATCAGGCATCTTGGCTGGCTTGCAGAAAAGGTAAAGAAAATGTCTTCCTTCGAAATAGTCATTTTTCCCTTGTTCCCCCAACACTTGTAGTCATTGAAGTCTCCTCATTTTGTATTTTGTATGTAGCAGACTTAAGTCCAGCTGCATTCACTCAGGGTCAATGAAATAAGAGGCACAAACTGGAGAAGGGAGTTTATTTCTGCAACTAGGTTACAGGGAGACAGGCAGCAGGCTCCACCAAACACCTCAGCATGTGCTCAGTATTTATAGATAGGAGATACAAGCACGTGCAAGTCATTCCTTGCTATAATCAATCAAAGTCAACCTCTTTCTTTAAGGAGTTATCCTAATTCCTATTTTTGTTTAAAAATACCCACTCCTGGTTTCTCATCTGAACATTCCTCAGACCTCCTCATGACTCAGCACTTGGTCAGATTGTTCTTGTCAGGGACCTTTCTTAATTTCAAAATGGCTGTCATCCTGCTACATCTCAAGCTGACCTGCTACGAATCCATAGGATTGTTTTCTCATTTGCAGTCTGTTTGGACTTCTCACCCATTCCAACAGGCTGCATGCCTTTGCATTTTACAAAGGCTTTGTCTTAATCATCCTTGATTCCCCATGTATTGTGAAATATGTGGCAAATTGCAAGTGGTCACTGATTGCTAAATAGATGAAGGAGTAAGTTGATGAATAGTTTGACTTTCACATCTATGTATGAAGGGTAAGGAAAATAACTCAAACTCAGAGCAGAGCTGATGCCTTGGGAGGTGAGAAGGGTGAAATTGTTGCTTAAAAGGGTTTGTGTGGGTTTTGATGAAGCTGCTCATTAATAACACAGACACTTTAGGAATAATGAAATTACACACTTACTGAAAATGTTAATAATATTAACAGCAAGGATTTCTTGAACAACCACTATGTTGACTCTTTTCATATATTATCTTCAATTTATTGATACTGTTAAGTCAGCAGATTCTGAATGTCATCATTAATGAGCACCTACTCTATGTAAGGAATAATGCGAGGTAGAAGGGGGAGGGATATGTAAAGATAAATAAAGACTTAGTCTCTGTCTCAGGGAGGACAGCTGTTTTAGGGAACAGACTTTGCTGTATTAACACTGTCACTGTCACTCTGCTTTCTCTTCCGAAGTTATGCGATATGTTGAAGATAGTAAAACTCACTTAGCAGCCGTCTCCTGGGAGACACTTTGGCTCTCAATTTTGGAGTGAGCCTTTCCCATTGTCCTTACACCTGATTACTGTCCCTTAGACTTGGCCTGTAGTACTCAGGAGCACAGAGCTTTTGACATACTGACCCCACAGTGACTCGCATTCTAATAAGCAGTAAATGCAAATAATGATCATTGCAACAACAGTTTTTCTGCCAATGAACCATGTTATCTGAGAAGGCCCAGTCCAATGGCACTTGAAAATAATACTTGAACACACATTCATCTGTTTTTCTCTATTGTTCTTTGTTTGCACCAGTTCATGCACAGGTCTCAGCCACAAAGGCCAATAAAAAATAGATTATTTGGCATACATTTTGTATTGTCCCATCTTTAATAAATTTTAAAGAACTAAGGGGATAATGCAGGAAAATCATAATAAACATAAAGCACAAGTAGCCTTTCTTGAATTTATGTGTGAGGGTTCTACATGAAAATACCACCATGTATCTGGAAGACTGATAACATTTTAAAAGTCACAGTCACTAACACTGTTCACTTATTGCTTTCTCCAAATACACATTTTTTATTAGGAACAAGCCTATTAATCAGGTGTCTTGCAGTTGCAAGGAATGGAAAGTTCAACTCAACTTAGTTTGAGCAAAAAGAGGGATAAATGGATTTTGATAGCCACTATGTCCAAGGATAAGCTTTAGGCATAGTGGAGTTTAAATACTATGAAGTCTGTCTCTGCATCTCTTTGTTTCCCTGTGTACTTCATTGGTTTAGTCGTAGGCAAGCCTTTTCTACTTAGCCTGGCTGTTCCAGGCTTGTGTTTCTCCTTACACCTGGCTGTCTCAGCGAATAGAGGCCCCTTTGTTCCATTCATTCCAACAGAGGTCTAAGTCAATGACTGGAGCCTTATGTTCAGCCCTAGTTTGGCTGAGATCAGCCTTACCCAAGTTATGTTCACTGTGTGATTAGGAGAAAAATTATAATAATAAAAAACTAGGTTACTATGCAGGGAAAAGAGTGAATGGACATGGGGAAGTAAGACAATGGGCATTGGCTATAGAAAGAAAAGGGGTAGAGTTGATTTTGATGAAAAATGTCTTCATTTGGTGAAGATCCTGAGTGCACTTAGAGTGCTACCCACATATTTCAGAGTTTTGACAAGAAGTGAATGGAAAATTCAAAAAAGGGATGCTTGGAAAAGATTTAATACAGGAATAGTTTATAAGATGTGGTCAAGGTAAGGGAAACCAGCAAGAGATGAAGAAGCACTCCACAGCTAACAGCAGTGAGAAGCAACTTGTCCCTTGATCTGAAAAGGCAGGGGAAAGGAGTAGTTATCCCTGAGACTAGCCAAACTCATAGCTGTAGAAAAGGGCCACCCACTAAGAGCTGTGGTCTTTAGGAATGAAACACAGCCTCTGCCAATCCCTGCCCACTGATCTCCCTTAGTGTCTACCAATGGCTGTAGCTGACTGGAAGTCCAGGCAAGGGATCCCCGTTGGTAGACTCTGTTAAGGTGAGTATCCCAGGAGACAGAGCAGGACAGAAAAGGGCAGAGACTGGATCTGGATGTGCAAAGGCAGACTGGCCAATACACACATCCCTATACCTGGCAAGTAACCAACATAGTTTCGATTCTCAATTTTCCTCTCACCTCTTTAAACATATACTATGTCTAGAACCACTACCAATTGGATAGTTGGAAAATGGTATTGTGTCCTTATTAGTGATATTGACAATTTTTTTCAAAGGTTCCATTTTTCTCACTAGCAAAAATTATCTCGTGCCATTTTGCTTATCCCAAATTATTAGTTGACAGATTATCAGACACTCCCATGGAGCCATAATAAAGACACATGAAAAGCTCGTCCTATTTTTAGAATGTTATTGTTCTTGTGATGTAATTTTAGATAATCATTACATATGTCTCCATAAGTATATGATGTAGTGTATCCATAAGAGCAATAATGACTTACCATGTGCAATTATAGAAGCAAAAATATTTCTATCGCTATCATCTTTAAACTTCTCCAAAGATTACCACAGATCAAGTCCACAGGAACAAATCCAAATGGGAGTTTTTGAAGATAAATGTTTAATATTGAATCCTAGTGTGGAGAGACATATGAGCAGTTTTTAGTGCAATATTACAATGAGTGGCAAATCCTTAAAACTGTGCCTTTCTTATATTATCACAAATATCAGTGAATTTGCTTGATATTTGTAAAGATATAAAGTGTGATCCTATATATATTCCACTGCAATTTATCTTAAATTGATGTCCTTTGTCTTTTCCTATACTGCTAAACTTTGATTTTGTAGATTAATAACAGCAGCTTTGGGACAAAATCTTACAGATTATATTTAATCTCAACTTTTTAGAAGTGGCATTTACATGAACAAAAATAATATGAAACAACAATAACTTCCTTTTAAAAATTCTTTTCCATGCAAATACTAAAACCTCCTTGACACTGCACAGGAAGGAGACTTAATATTAACATTATTCTTCTCTGTGAGTTGGTCTGAGGATTTGAAGCCTGGCTCCCAGGATTGATGAGATTTCAAGTGAATGCAAAGAATTTATTGCACTCTTAGAAAAGAGAACAAGAATGAGAAAAGAGCAGAGGCCTATGCTAGGACAGCGTGAAAGGAAGGCAGGTCAGAGAGTGCACTAAAGGGTGGTGGGTTCATACTGGAGGAGGATGGTAAGCAAATCTAGTACCTGGGATCTGGTACCAAGTATGGGAAATTGTGAGAGCTGGACAGAATGATTTAAATTTGATGTGATGGGTAGTAAGGAGACAAAATCATAGAGAAGGAGACTTAGAGATCTAACCTACCTTCTATTTCCTACACATGAGGATAAAACATTTTCTAAATATTTTATCTAAAGTTATACTTAAATTTAAGAAACAAAAATAATTAGAGTAAGATGATACTGTGATATCAGTATTTTTTTTTTTATAAGAATCTACTGCAGTTCATTTACTGCAATTGCCTTTGTTCTCTTTTTAAAATCTGCTAGCCTTTCTTTGGACTCTCTACAGTATCAAGTTTAATACTGGGTAGCACTGGGCCTTTAAGCTGGGGCAATTTTCCCTGTTTTTTTAACTTCTTGGTCCTTGTCTGCTTTCCTCTGTGTGTCTATCACCTGTAAGTAGATCACATATATAACAGTAATTCTTGTCTCATGATCATATTATACTTAAACCATTTTATACTTTGCAAACTCCAATCTGCCCCATGAGGGCCCATAAATACAGTGTCCACCCTGAATTGTAAAAACACATTTTTTCAATCATTTTATAAAATAAAAGTTAATGTTTTCACAGTTATCTGTGCATTGAGATGTTTTCAATGGTTCGATTTCAGACAAGAGAAAAACAAGCCAAGTTCTAACTTTATCACTGCTTAGAAAACCAGTAATAACCAGGGACAATAATAACAGAATTATTGAATTCTGTTTTCTGCTCAGTTTGCCAAGCATCACTTTGCCTTGTTATCTCAGCTTGCAAACTATTTCTTGTTAGATTAAAAATGCAAAAACACAACACAGTAAAACAAAACACTCAGCTGGGAGTTCAGAAATGCAAGTTCAGTTCTCATCTTTTCTTGTTCCCATTTCAGATTCTTTCAAATAGGAATATTTATATAGATGTACCTCCCCATAGTGTTACTGGAGAAAAGAAATTGGTCATTTGTATTTCTTATGTGCCTGATTTGTTTAAAGTAATATGGTTATAATAATCCTAATCCTATGAAGCAAATATAAAGAATCTGAGTAACTTTACTAGGGTCAGTCTAGGAAGTAGGAGAGTTAAAATTTGAACTTCTCTTT